GGTTCGCCACTGAATGACCCAGAAAGCTGGACTGAAAGGTTCGACCGGTTCGCCGCCTTCAATGACTAGACTGACGATGACAAGCTCCAGCATGTGTATTTCGCCTTAGAAGATGCAGTAAGGACCTGGTTTGAAAATCATGGGACATCCTTCATGCCAGGTTCCTCACCACTTTCGTAAGTGTGGTGCGTAAAGAAAAGGCTGCAGCTCTCCTCGAAACTCGTATGCAGATTCCAAATGAAAACGTGGCGCTATTCACGAAAGATATGATTAAACTCTTCCACCACGCTGACTCCGACATGTCCGAAGAGAAGAAGTTCCATCTGCTCATGCGAGGACTTAAGCAAGAACTCTTCGCCGGGCTGATCAGAAACCTGCCAAAGACGGTCGCCGAATTCATTTCGGAAGCATCTACGATAGAGAAGACGTTCGAGGTGCGCACGCGACAATACAACCGCAGCTTTTCGGCTGCAAATTATGCTCACATCCAAGCACTGGGAACCACTGACCTGCATGAGATGATTTGAGCAATCGTACAAGAGGAGCTGCGGAAATTGCTACCTTTAGCGCAGCCTTAAGTAGACTCCATCGTGGACGTCGTGCGCCAGGAGATCCAGCAATCGCTGGCGTTCCTCAGCCTCCAGAGCCGCAGCTGTAAGTCATGAGCTATGCTGCTGCAGCCCGACGTGATGCCTCTTCTCCACGCCCACGCGAGACGCGGCCCCGTCGCACTTCCGTCGCCAGACGCCACCTACATCCTACCATTCGCCAGTGGGCCAGGGCAGCGCGCCCAGGAAAACCGACATTTGGCGTGCGCCTGACAACTGCCCGCTCTGCTACCACTGCGGCAAGGCAGGGCACACCTACCACCATTGACAGTACTGACGAATGGGTCTACGGGGCTTTGACATCAACACACCGTGCCCACAATGAGGTGAACGACCGCATAACATCACCGACTACCTCGCAGGAGCACAGTCGGCACCCCGACGACCCTATCATTCACTGTCGCCAGGCTGCTACACCTCACCGTACCGCGGGCCATACACTGGCCCTGTTCGGGGCTGATGTCCGAGCCCTTACTCGGAAAACTAAGGGCAGCAACCCATAGAGGTGCGGTTGCTGTACAACGAACTGCCGAAGAGCCTCCGCCGCCGCCGCCACGAAATTGAAAGCACCTGCCGCAACACGAAAAAGGTCTTTACAAAGAACCTTTGCAGCCTAAAGAAGACGTCACGACGCAACGTGGAAGCAGCGGAGCAAATAGACGTAGCCGTGATCCAACGCCACGACCCAACCGCAACGCACAACAAACCAGCGACCTTGACGTAACATTGTACGGCCACCTTGTCACTGCCCTCGTCGATACTGGAGTCGACTATTTCATTGTCAGTGGCTTTTTGGCGATGAAGTTGAAAAAAGTGCAGGCTGTATGGCAAGACCCCGAAATCCGGACCACTGGAGATCACTTAATAACGCCGACTAGAGTCTGCACAGCAAGAGTCACCATCAATAATCTGACTTACCCTGCGAGCTTCGCAATCTTACAAAATTGTTCCAGGGATGTGATACTTGGAATCGACTTTCTAAGTCAACACGGCACTGTCATTAACCTGAGGTCTGAGTGTATCACACCAACCTCAGAAAACACTCTGCCGACCCCTACAACGCCCAGGAATCACGCATTGAATGTGCTAGAAGAGCAGGTCACCGTGCCGCCTTTTTCCAGCGTCGTTTCCGTTGGCGCCGAAAAAGCCATGCAAAAATTGAATTTTTGAACCACTCACGCCATTCTCCATAGTAACGTCCGGCAGTTCTTTTTTCAAGAATCAAACAGAAACGAACCAGCAGCATTTTATTGCTTCTCTTGATGCATGGAAGGTTCTTTATTTAGTGCAGTTAGATCAATGACTAGTGATTAATTGTAGGCAGTCCGTCTGATGCCATCGGGACCATTTAGAAAACGTCCTACTGCGGCGCTTGTGTTTTTGCGCATTTACCTTAATTTCTCGGTAAGTAGTGCCCTGTTGTTGATAATATGGTCGTTTAAGATATTGTCGTACATTGAGCTTTGACTCCAACGTAAATTGTTATTTGACTTTAGTGTCCCTTTAAGCTTAAAATATGTTATACTGCCTTATATGCTCTAAGTAGAGTGAATTTTCAAACATACCATATTTTACACAGGTTATCACTAGCATTCTATTGAAAGTCAAATTTTCCTACAGTTGAACCCATCTATAATGAACTCGAAAGTGCCACAATAAGTGCTCGTTATAGCAGTAGCTCGTCGTGTAAGCTCTCACCCTTAAAAGTGTATTAAGTGACCAAACCTTTTTCTCTGTAGATATTTATTAAAATGTGCTGAAACTCCTCCAGTAACAAGTTAGGCCATTTAGTACGTAATGCAACGCCCGCTTTGTGCTCATGACTGAATTAAACAATGAAATGAATTGATGATTAATATGTAAGGTTTAACATCCCAAAACCACGATATGAGATTCAACTGTAGATGAGTTCGACTGTACTATGCAATGTTGCTTCCACTTCCTTTTCAACCGAAAATAATGACACTTGCATGTGCCTCGTTTCAATTTTTAAAAAATGATTTGCAGGTTCATTAGGTAATAACAAGTATGCTCATTTTTCTTTATTATGTGATATACAGTCGAGCCCGCTTATAACGAACCTGAGCATGAAGCGGCATCCATTTGCTGTATCCCGGAGTTCGTAGTAAATGATAAATGAAACACAGCTTTGAAAAAAAGTTGCGAGTGAAAACACAAACTTTTTATGCCCCAAAAAGTCCGTGATGCACGCGTTTCAAAGAACAGAAGTGATAAGGGTGGTCTCGAGTTCATTTAAAACGGCAGGGTGCTCGTTCGCCGAGGCCCATGGCATAAGCTGCATGAGGCACTGGCTCCAAAGTTTCGTCGTTCTCGCTATCCGATTCCTCCAAATCGCTCTCGCCACATACTTCATTCACAATGCCCCAATTCATGCACGGCTCCGCAGTGTCGGCATCATCATCAGCCGTAATTACACCATCGCAACAGATGTCCCACCAGCTCTCCCAGGTCGGAGTCGACGACGCGCTGCCACAAATTGCCGCCGCAGTTCGGAAGCTTCAGGCTCGGCATCGGGCTCGACGTCGACGAAGTCGGCCTCGCGAAAACAGTTTCGCGCGCATGTAGCCGTCACCACCACCGACGAAATGTTCACCATCTCCACAGCTGAATACCGGGACACCCGAAGTGGCAAGTTGGCTGCCAGGTGGTCAACAGCTATGAGCAAGCCCTCCGCAACGCGGCACCTAACGCGCGGATTACACTCAAGCCAAGTGGTCACACTTTCGACGTTTTGTTGAGCGGCACGAAAAAGCGTGCTAGTCCTCTCGTCGGCCATCATGACCACAAAAGCACACCAAGAGCGAGCAAGACGCACACATGCGGCACACATGCCAGAGCGCATGGAACAGCTCTGGGCCCGAAACTAATTCGTGCCAGCGTGGTAGGCGTCGCAGAGCGGTGGAGACGGGCGAAGGGGTTGTGATCAAGAGAGGTGAGCAGACTTGCGAGAGAAGGGCAAGGAGTTGCGATAAAGAGAGGGGAGGATGTGGTGGGAGGGCAACCTTGAAAACCAAATCACACGGGAAGGAGGCAGGTTGGGTAGCTTGCTTGAAAGCTTCGCGAAACTCGCACGTAGAAAAACTTGGAAAGAGTGCATGGCTGCCTGAATCGGTGCGCGCGACGGTGTTCGAAAAATCGGCGACCGTTGTCACAAAATCTTATCGTTGCGCCGGCGGGTTTGCGTGGCCTCACGAACTTCGGTATTTCGTTATTCGTTTCGCGCAAATTAACAGCCGTTTTCGCGCTTCCGCGCACCCGCGGAAGGCATGCTGAGTTGAGTGCGAAGTGAGCAAGAACAAGTCCTAACAACGAAACTAATCGCAGATTATCAGAGTCGGTGGGGTAGCATACGTGCGTGCACTAGGCGCAGACTATCGGATACAGCCGGTGGCCGACGATGTTAGCAAATGGTCAGGTCACTTCAGGCAGGCGACGCCAAGGACAGCACCAGCGATCAAAAACAGGGTAGATGGCTGACCGGTCTTCGAAAGATCGATGGCAGTGTGAAAACACAGGCCTCGTCTGGCGATGCGGGGTGCTCAGACTAGCGGGGGGGACAAAGGACGGAGGGGTGCGTAACAAAAAGCGGTCGGGGAGAGCAGCAACTAGAGGGGCGCGAAGGCAGGGTCGGCGTTTAACAATAAGAATGTATGGGCGCCTCGCCGATGCCTGATCGGTGGTCAAAATTGGTTTCCCGAGAAGTCGGCAGACCGCTGACTTCGTTCGCTGTAACCGATCAGCGGCGTTTGAAGACATTCGTTGTAAGTGCGATTTTGTGCCATTGAACCAATGTATATTTTCACGGTCACGCGGTTATTGTTCGTTTTAAGTGACAGTTCATTTTAAGTGGGGCCGTTATATGTGGGCTCGACTCTATACTATACGAATTCATTAAGGAACTATTAAACCAAACCATTATTCACTTCGAACCTAAAATTTACTATTTCACAAGCCTAGCAAATTTTCAATTTGCTGTTGGCATGTCTCAAAGCAGGACTTGCAGGTACCAAATGAGTTCACAAAAGCCAGGGTGCACACCAATATGCGCATAAGTGTACTGGGAGGCATTAAAGGTATTTCGAACATGTGTGTGGTCACTTGACTGTTCGATCGAAATAAAAAATGCATAAATTTGCTTTTTGGCAATGCCCAATTTCTCAGATAATTTTGTGGTACCTAGGGAGTCCAAAAAATTGGGTGTTGATTAATCTTCGGGCAACGAATACTTCGAATACTAGTCAAATTCCAGTATAAATCAAATTGAACAGCAAACACAATAAGAAAAATATTTGTAAGTTCAAAGATTCGCACACCGCTACCCAGAACCATTTCCTTTAAGGGAAACGAAATTAAATGAAAGAGAAAGCTTACATGTTCATGCGGGTCAGCTTTTGGTCACAAGATTGCTCTGCAGTGCGCTTGTTTCCAGACAGGTCACGGCCACCACTACCTGTATACAAAAACTGCTCACCATCGTCCTGTAGGACAGACAATACAGACAGTACAATCAGATCAGACGTTGCAACATATGGCGCAAACATACCAACCCCTTTACGCCATTGCTAAAGGGCATCATAATACCATAAAACACATACCAAATGGCCCTTTCAGTGTTTATGTGCAAGTACTTTGCCAGAGCTACCCACTGACATGCAACTGTTGATGCCATGGTAATACCTCAAAAGCTGAAGCACTGATGGAACTACAGTTGCGGACTGATTTTTCAGACCTGGTGGGGACCGCGAAATAGTAACAAAAGTTTAACAGTATGGAAAAAAAAATGGTTAAGACATGATAATAAAATTAGTCTGAATAACAGCAACCATGGAAACGCCCCAATAATGTCCTGTGCAATTCTGTGCTTGGGGACGAGCAGATAAGCTCGTATTTGAACTACAGCAACATCGTCAGGGTGTTGGAAATCGCTGGTGCCGACCACTGTGGGTGGCCCAGTTGATGGCACATGGCACCAAGAAAAAAATAAAACTTCTGTCGGGTGGAATTTACCGATGCGGGCAGCGTTTTTTTTTTTTTTTCATGCACTGAAATTGCAAGTACGTAAGCCTAAAGCATTTCACCTCCATCAAAACGCTACTGCTGCGGCCGTGATCTAACCTGCATGTAGCCAAACACCATAACCACTGATTGCTACTGAGCAATCACAACAGCAGAGAACATGTAACATGCACGACAGCTCGAAAACACTGCACACCACAAGCGGAATGAAAAAAATGGGGGGATGAAAAAAAGTAATAAAAATAAGAGCGTGAGTGACGTATTATTGGCGACGATAAGGCAGACAGTTGCCAGTCAAAGAAGATCGGACACAGCCTCCAAAAGTAGAAGCTTGTGTGCACTTACAACCTTGGAGACCAAACAAATAGCCACTAGAAGCTAAACTCGACCACACCAACACAAAATCCAACATGGCGGCATTCATATTTGTGAGGCATAACTCAAAACAAGCGACTTAGTATGAAAAATAGAACTTTGGGGCAAATTATTCCGAAGAATTTCTTGTGAATACACATTAGTTCAATGAAAACCTTGACGGTGCATTTAATAAGTCTGAAAAATCTGTCAGCGACTGTAATGGCATTTTTAAGAAGCTCAATGGTAACAAAACATAATCAGTCTATACAAGAGTAAAGTTTATCTACTTTAAATCAAGATGGATCTCACACCACTGCAATGCAGCAAAAAACTTCTGCGAGCTCTTTGGAGAGAAAACTAAGCCTTCAACTAATTTTGTGCAAAATAGAAATTAAATTCAGCATAGAGGAACAAAACAAAGGCATGTTGGCGTATCAACTCTTTTACAACGAACCTCGTGCTGTACTTGCCACACAAGTTTGTACCAATATTGCCGATGATGAATTATAAAAGAACTTGTTGTTGGGCTAGTTGGTAGAGCATTTCGAAAAGTTAATTCGAGCGCGAAAATTTGACACGATCACTCACACACGCACACACCCATGCATCAAACACACACAGTGCCCACTTTCAACTGATTTATTCCTAGCTCGAAGACTTGAATATATACAGGACACATTGTGCGCACACACACCATAGAAGGCCAACAGCATACATTATCAAACGTACAGCTAATCAATGTCATATCAATGACCGGTGTATTAATGAGATATTAAGGGAACACACCCAAAAATTAACAAAAAGAGATGACAAGTATGCGCATCTGGTTGCACATGTCATCTCGTGTGGTTGTGACGCACGATTTTCTGAAACGAAGATTCTAGGCAGAAGCGCAAGTAAAACTGCACGTGAAGTGTTAGAGGCCTTTTTCATTGAAAAAAATAAAGATCACTGTGTAAGTGCCCCTTCAATTTCGTTGTTACCAAGCGAACTTCAGTTTATTGCTCTGAGGCTATGACATTGATTAACTGTACGTTTGATAATGTATGCTGTTGGCCTTCTATGGTGTGTGTGCGCACAATGTGTCCTGTATATATTCAAGTCTTCGAGCTAGGAATAAATCAGTTGGAAGTGGGCACTGTGTGTGTTTGATGCATGGGTGTGTGCGTGTGTGAGTGATCGTGTCAAGTTTTCGCGCTCGAATTAACTTTTCGAAATTTGCCAATGATGAGTCACACTCGTCTGACTCTCAATTTTCCGCTCCCTCCACCACCTAATCACAGTCATCAATTGCTTTGCATGCAATATTCAACCCTAGATTGCAGTAGTTGTGTGTGAAAAAATGCATTTTGTGCCTTTTACATGTTTAAGCCTGGCAACAATCATTTCATAATGATGCTTTGGAAGATGAATGTTGGTGGCAGCAATGCTCTAAGAAAAAGAGGTGCTTTTTGGCACCTCTTTTTCTTGGAGCATTGCCACCATCGTACAAAAAGCAGCGTTAGTGACAACATAGAATTTGTGTCTGACCGCAACTTGGATGTTTTTTTTAACTTGGATAGGGCTTCAGATGACGAAGAGAGATGGCAACGATGCTTCGACACCATATTTTGAAATCTACCACACAAAGAGTGACTATTAATTACGAAAGCTCTTGTTAGACGAAGCAAGTTTTGTGAAATTTTCAGTATGTTACAGTGCATTGCATAAAATAAATATTTAGACTTTCACCATGTTCTGACTTACTATTCCCATTGCCTGCATTGATGAAAAGCTGCCCTCAAAAGCATTTTTTTATCTTTGTCATAATTTTAAACAGAACTCATCTATGTAATATATTTTCAGAATTAGAACTGCATGAAACAATTATCACTACTTAAAAAAATTGGCAATGTTGATACATCTTGTGGCAGTCAAATTGACGGTTAAAGGGTTAAGTGTTTGTTGTTTTATTCCGACATTTAACAATTTGATATTGTGGTGATTCAGATACAGTTAAACCCCTTTATAGGAGGCATGCTCCAGGCAGCAATTCTTGTCTTTTACACAAGATGTCTCTTATAAGCAGGGTACTTCATATGCATTTTCCTATCACCCGTATTTTACTGTATGAATACTGGTGTGTCTTGTACCCATTTGTCTCTCACATCAGTGTCTCTTATAAAGCGGTGCGACTGTATTCCTTTAGTACTGTAAAATGTGAATGAGAGCTTTCACTTGAGGATTAATTTCACTAAGGCCCATATGGATTCCCTAATTGACCTTATACTTGTGTCCTCCTCACCGTTTTTGTGCTCTTCCTGCACAATAAGGGCGCAAAAGCCGCAAGAGGCCAATATATCGTATTTACTCGCATAATCGGCGCACTCGCATAATAGGCACACCCTGAACTTGGCCATGATCAGAAACGATTCTACCCTCCAGAGGTACAGTTGGAACGTGGTCCTCATACCCTGAAGAAAAAAAGAAGACAAATCGACGAGCAAAAAAAAAAAAAAACAAAAAAATCGAAGTGCAACAACCTAACCAACGTGTTTGTCGAAATAAAACTTGGAAAAAAAAAAGCGTTCATGAGCGGAAAAAAAACGGCTGTTCCATTAACTACTGATATCCCCCAAATCGCCACGCTTCTTTCACATGTACAATGCCGGGGACTCGATCGCCATCACCACTATCAGAGAAAAAGAACGAAACGCCATTTTGCAAGCGGTGTGCGCATAATGTGGCCGTGCATTCAACTTTGGTTCCACCATGGAGAAGTACGGAAGCTACATGACTGGATTTAAACTGAAGACAGTGCAGCACGCGCTGGAGCACCGGGCTGCAAGTAGGCATTTCGATGTTGGAGAAACCAGTATTCGGTACTGGAGGGATCAAGAAAAAAACTTAAGGTGACAAAGAGAACACGACGAGCTTTCCGCGTTGCCAAGACCGGCAGGCATCCGAACGTGGAAGAGCAACTAGTCCGGCATATATGGGAGCTATGACAAGACGGCTGTGCTGTGTCATTGGATATTGTGCAGACTGAGGCGCGCAGAATAGCCCGAGCGCAGCGCATCAAAGGAAAAGAATTCAAAGCCAGCTCCAGATGAACACCTCGTTTCATGCGGCGCCATGACCTCGCACTGCGAAGGCGAACCACCTTGTGCCAGCGCTTGCTCGCAGCATGAGGACAAAGTGGTGAACTTCCACCATTGTGTTATAAAGCTCCGACAGCATAAAGACTTCATTTTGTCCCAGATTGGCAACGCCGATCAGACCCCCCTTTGCTTTGATATGCCGCGGAACACGACAGTGGAGAAGAAAGGTGCACGGAGCGTCGTCAGAGCGTCTGGCGTTAATAAACAACGATGCACTGTAATGCTGGCGGTGACAGCAGATGAATGCAACCTACCGCCTTACGTTATTTTTAACCGTAAGACGCTACCAAAGGCGAATTTCCCTCAACGTCAAAGTCCAGGAAAAAGGCTGGATGAGCCCAGAACTCATGGTGGATTGGGTGAAACAGTCTGGGTCGGCGGCCGGGTGGTCACAGTTTTGTGGGCACCTAGTAGACCGCGTACGAGACGAGCTAAGGAGCTGCACACAGATCTGGCAGTGATTCCGCGCGGTCTCACATCGATACTGCAGCCTCTGACTCCAGGTGGTAAGATTAAGAGGTCGCCTGTGGAAATGCTGTGCACTTGGATCGTGCAAGCGTGGCAGGCGATCTCCGACAAAGTCGTCAGGAAAAGCTTCAAGAAGACGGGTATCTCGAACGCACTGGATGCGAGTGAGGATGACATGTCGTGGGGTGCAGATGATTCGGACACCGAAAACAAATCCACGCTCGGCGAGGATGAATGTGCGCTCTCTGACTCGGGAATCCGAGTAGGGAAAAGGAGGAACACCTACGACTGTTTTGTGAGCTTTTGTGTGAGTATATTTTACATGTGTGTGTGCAGTTGACGGCTCTCGCTTGTTCATTAAATGCTGCGTAGGTATGTTTGCTTTATGCTGAATAAATTGGTAAACGATAAAGTCACCTTTTACTTGACAAATGTGCAGATTTAAAACGCGAAAACTGAGTAAAAAAATTTTCAAATATTTTACCCCACGTAATTGGCGCACCCTTAACTGCAAGCCATATTTCCTGAAAAAAAAAGTGCACCTATTAAGCGAGTAAATACGGTACATAAATATATTAGATTGGCTCGATAATTGATCTGTCTATGGAAAACGTTACAGGGGTCTTGACCCACTTTATCAAGTAAAGATCAAACTACCTCAATATCAAGATATTTTATTTCCTCACAAATCGATTGCTGCAAAAAGTTATTGGATTTGTCAGGCACAAATCAAGTTACAGAGATTTGTCGCACGTTTTCACTGCTTTCTATAATCTCCTGCCACGTTCCTTTCCTCAAGTTTTGTTATCGCACCGTTACACTATGTTCAGCGAGAACCGCGCCTACGGTGTTCAAGAAGCTTCGAGGCTACAGTACAGTCGAAACCCGCAATAACAAAACCCCGCGAGTACGAAATCCCAGTGGCAACGAAATATTTTGGGATCCCTGGCGAACGTTCATAGAAGCCCATGCATTACATATCTCGCGACAACAAAATGTTTTTGGACAGCGATCCCGCATTAACGAATCTTCTACCACGGAGCGGGCCTTATTTTACCCTCCCGCCAAAGGTAACTGTCGAAAATATGCTCGTCAGTGCGTTAGGCGCACTCAAAATTTGTAAACGTCTGCTTTTGCCGCGCTAGCGTGGGTACCGCTATTTTTGTTTACTTAAAGGGGGACGCGCCTTTGGGATCACGAAAAATGGCAAACAAATCAATTTTTTTTGAAAATCAAGTTTTCAGTTTCTGGAACCCTTTTTCGATCTGATTCCAAAACATATACACTGAAAACCACGCAGAAGTGCTTCTGAAAATTCATTTCACCCACCTAAGTAGCAAAACTTTTTGTAGAAATCGCGAGAAAACAGCGATTTTTAAAAAATTATGACTTCGCGATGGCGGAGGCCGGGAGCTGGCTTCTTGGGCTCATTGAAAGATCATTTCTCCGTGTTTAACTTTCGCGCCTCAGCTGGCTCCTCCCTTTAAAAACAAGCACACAAAAAGCAAATGTTTGAAGGTCTTTTCGAGGCCCTTGATTGGCTGTGGCCGCCATGTTGCCTCAGTTCGCCTCGCCATTGGCCCGATGCTCGCTCCGGGAGATCGTCTTCTGCTGCTTGTGCGTCGAGAGGGCATGGCTCTCGAAGATTGCTACTTCGTGACGTGTTCACGGCTCGATGATCACTTAAGATATAATTACGCTTTAGTTAGGAGCAGTAGGCGGATATGCGCGATCAGGTTACTACGAGCGCGCCACGTCATTGGAGTCATCTTTAGCCACCACTCCACCGACAGCGAGACTGTGGGCAGGAACGACGCGCTAGCGCACTCGTGGCGACGTGCTTCGTCGTAAGCAACGAAGCTGTAAACGGCGGCACGGTCAGCGAGCAGGCGCGTGGTCTACGAGCGCGGCGCGTTATCGGAGTCGGCTTTAGCCCTAACTCCGCTGACAGAGAGACTGCGGGCAGGAACGACGCGCTAGAGCATCCGAAACAACCCGCGGGTTGTTTGGATGCGCTGGACACCCTTCGCTCCTTCTTCGGCGCACATGAAGACGACGTAGCAATGGACCACTTTTTCCAGTGCAAAGGGAGAGCTTTGAAGTTGTTGCATGGCAAGAATCGGCAAAGTAAGTTGACTGAATTCTGGCAATAAATTTTCATTCTGCTGACTGTATCACTGTTTTTATGTCTCATACTCGCGGCAACGAAATTCTCGCAAAAACGAAATTTTTCGGTTTCCTCGGCAATTTCGTTATTGCTGATTTCTACTGTAGATCGTTTTGTTAAAAATACGCCCAGTTCGCAAACATTAGAGATTATTCTGGAACCCGTGTGGCTGCTAGCAATAACACTAGAATATTCGATGGCACATGTATAAATGCTCACGCGCTTCACCACTAGTGAGTTGATCGACAGCCGACACTCCGCTCATCGCTATCAGTGCCAGTGTCTGGCTGTAATATGACTTTCCTTTTACGTGGCCACAAGATCGGCCCAAATAAACAGTTTATTATTCGGTCTGCAGTCTGCTCCCTTCGTCTACGTCACCCCGTGACACTCCCTTCTAAACGAGTGCACTGGAAGCTATACATGGAGGTGTGGCCAGAGGGAAAGGAGTTATACCAACAAAAGCCATGATTTTGAGCGTGCGTGATGAAAACACAATAACTCTTTCCCATAGCAATTACTAAGCGTGAAAGTGTGGCTACTGTATGATAATGGCAGACTACAGAGTGCGATGCTGGCATGTGGCAGCACCCCATGGCAAGAGGTGCAATCTAATCCAAATTACACTCTTGGTTCATGTTGCCTATTAGCCAGCAGGTGTCGGCAGCTCTGACGAGAGTGAGCACAGGCTTCTTTGCCAAAAGAGTGCTCCTCAGAAAACAGAAACTTCATGCTCCACTTGTAAACCCTCCCTGCCATGTATAATTGCAAGATTTGGCTGGCCTGTTGATAGCAGTGTCTATAAGCCGTAGAATGTTTTTTGAGGGATAGTTCACAAGCCCTTTGAAGACTTAAAAATGGGTAGGAGGTCAAGAGATAAGTATAAGGCTAATTTGCGAGTGATAATAATGACTGAATAATGCAGAACTAAAGAAAATTACCTGGTCATCCTCATAGCCTCCAGAAAGAACAATAGAGTAGGCTCCATCCGACTCCCTGCCATGAATTCCTCCAACTGGTGGACGATGGCAGCCAGATTCAGACACCTGCAGGCAAAAACCAATGAATAGTTATTTTTGAATAACCAAAAGTAGCTTCTCACAAATTGTTGTTCACAAGACAAAGAAATCATAATGAGGACAACTGTTGTTGCGTTGACCATAGTCATCTACATCCACTTGTGGCAGAACTATAGCCAGCGGCACTGGCTGCTCCGATTAAATCACGGCTACAAACAAATGTATAAACTTTCAAGTCGCAGCGACGTGGCCATTAAAACCTGACAATCCCTCGTGCCTTGCTGGCTATTTTGTCAGTCATGGCCTTGTCATGACGTATTTGATGACAAGGGTGAGCAGCACAGGTACAACAAGCGCACAGATACAAAGACCAGCGCAGGTACAAATCCCTACTTCTGTTCATTTTCCAACTTTTTCCATGGCCCAACAGTCTGCATATTCCGCAGATATTGCCTTTACACCAGTTCAGTGATGGAAGTGGCATTTTATTTTTGGAGCAGAAAAATGGTAGTTTGGAGCAGCTATTGGTTTTTTTGGAGCAGATGGAAAAACATTCAAATGACTCCTGGGGTTTAAAGCAACATTTAAGCATCTTATAAGATTAAAATTTATTGTTAAACAAATGGCTAGTGATCACTTGAGATAGCAAGCAACAAATAATTAAGCAGATAGATGGTTATTGAACACAAAGCAAGATGAGTGACCTATATTTAAAATACCAGTTCTTGTAACATAAATGACCTCAAAGCTAATGAAGAGGTAAATGTCACTCATAAGTCACTCATCATAGTTTCACTGTAGCAGTTAATAATCATTATGATATTAAACTAATCTCATGCACAATTCACCAAAATAGTCTGCTTGGCAGGTACAACTATACAGCTAAATTGGGTTGATATGAACAATGCCACTACAAGTAGTGTTGTCAGCATACACAGCTAATATATACATGCTACATACTAGATGACAGTCTTCAGCTATTTTTTGTTTTGTTTTTATGACTCAGTGGATGGTCACACAATCAAAGTTCACAAATCCTGGAGGAGGTGTGTAGCAGTTACTAACAAATATTACACTTCAGAGCAGCATGGAGCAGCAATTTTCTTTTGGAGCACTTTGGGGCTACAGGAGCAGCCCATCCATCACTGCCTGTTGCTCTGCCCCCATAGTGCTTCCCGACATTTTGCACACCAATACACCAAACCTAAGCCAAAAGTCAAACCTAAATATAACAAACCTTTTTTTAATAAAGGTCATGATGCCAAAAACTATTTTTATTTCCCAATCTCAGATTTATTGAAAACAAATTTTTTAATGACTAAAAGTAACATTGCACTGCGGTTTTGATTTAATGAAATGCAAGCAAGTTACACACATACATCTGGTTATGATAAAGATAAGATTGGCAAGAAAAGTTCAAGATTGATTTGATTTGATACGTGGGGTTTAACGTCCTAAAACCACCATATGATTATGAGAGACGCCGTAGTGGAGGGCTCCGGAAATTTCGACCACCTGGGGTTCTTTAACGTGCACCCAAATCTGAGCACACGAGTCTACCGGATTTTTACCTCCATCAGAAATGCAGCAGCCGCAGCCGGTATTTGATCCCGCGACCTGATGGTCAGCAGCCGAGTACCTTAGCCACTAGCCCACCACAGCGGGGCAAGAAAAGTTCAAGAAAGAATCTATCTTTTTCAGGTGATCTTTTCTGTTAGTACAACCTTTTGTGTTACTACAACCTTCTGCTACTACAACTCAAAAACGGACGGACAAACTTTGTCCGCTTATCCAGCAGGTCAAATTAAGCAAGAATCATGGAGGAAAAAAAAAAGCTGACTCATCTGACAGTATTTGGCCTGATTGAAACTCATTCCTGAATTGAGCCGGCATCCATACTTTATGGGTACAAAGTAGAAAATTAACTTCAAGATGACAATAAAGTAGCTAAATTGAACAAAAACAGAAGAATCAAATGAAAGGAGAGCAGCTTGACACTTATTTTGTTAGTAAGAAAAAAAAAACTGAATCACAGAACTGCATTTTTACAGATTCACATTTCACTTATGCAATGTCCGTCATCATCTCTCTTCAGCAGCACTTCATTGCTATGAGGGACAAGATATGCCACTTTCTTTATAGTCAGCAGTGTGCTTTATGTTATTTGAAAGTACTTATCAATTGCAGGTGCACTCACAGTTTGAGTGAAAGTGGTGCGCCGTTGTTGCAAAGGTGCGAGAACTTGCCATCCAGAACTAACTTGGCACACAACACCAATGGGCATTTACATGGGTAGGACTACTCACTTTAAGATAAAACTGCATCAGTGATTTTTTTCTAACAAGTATTACCAAGTACACAAAAAAGAACTATGGCTCTAACATAAGTTTCACAGCTGCTTTTAATATCTCATTTCTAATGTCATTCTCCTTCACCGTGAATACACTGAAGATTTCAACACCAGAAAATTGAAAAGGCTTATCGATGTTGTCTTTGGTGTCCATCTTATTCTACGGAGGACACAAAAGAATGAAGAAGGAGAAAGGCATAGCTGGTAGAATAAAACGTTTTTTTATTTGCTTAACAATAAATTGCCAGCAATAAGAAACCTCATCTGCCTACAATATACCTTTTAAAGCTTACCAAATGTAGCAGGGAACCTCAGCATAAGTATAACATCAGTGAGACAAGAAAATTGCACCCAGTCTCAGTTCGATGTTGAAAATAAGCAAGTGTACTATTAAAAAAAAAGAATGCCAGGCCTGCATAGAAAGCTCAGCACGGTCACAGAGAAAACTAGAAGTGCGGCTTTTCTAGAGTTCATTGTAAACTATCTTGGTATTGTGAACATAAGCACACTTGCAAGGTACCCACTATGTCATATATCATAATTTTTGTCAAGTTGGGAAACACCCATCACACCTTTATTCGTCACTTTGAGAAGTGAGGTATCCGCAACACATCTGCAAAATGCCCACTTTGTTGATGCGGTGGCTGATGACAATGAAGAATATTGGCTGAGCCCTTTGTAATAGATTGAAAGCTTTAAACAACCCACTAGTTACATAATTCATATCGTGTCACGCGTGGTCGTTATCTTAATCTCCTACCACACTTTATTACATACTAGGCTTGTGCAAATGTTCGAGTGCTTCAAATATTCGAACAAATAAAATAGCATTCGAATTCGCTTAGACTTCAACTTAACTAATTAAAAATTTTGAAGTATTTGAAATGAGCGAATACTAGGTGTATGAAGCCAAGAGTATGTCAACTGATTGTGAACAATGATCCCATGAGGGTGCCAAAACGCACTTTTAAGCATATATTTTTACTTTGGTCGGTGTTCTGTTTTCTTCGTCCAATGAATAGTGCTCTGTCAATGACTTTGTGCTCATGTATTTGTTTCACAAATATGCTTATGCTGGTAAAAATCTTCCTAGCAGCTTAAAGTTTCAACTTGCACATCTTGGAAATTGCATAATGCCCCAAGTTTCACTCACATGTACGAAAGCACTTGCACATTAAATTCGCCAGCACTTCCTCATGTCATTCGGTAGTGAAATGCACTTCCAGATTCCATTGTGTCAAAAAAAAAACCTTGTTTAATTTCGTCAACTCATCATTTCACGATCTCATTTATTACGGGTTTGTTGTGTGTTTTTTCTAGGGGTGCGCGAATATTCGAAATTTCAAATATTTATCTAACAGTGTTTGCTATTTCATTCGATTCACACTGGAATTTTACTACTCAAAACTATTCAAACTTCCCAAAGATAAGTACATTCAACGTCCGATTGAAAGTGACCTCTTCATATTTTATATATGCTTGACGTCATCACACTCTCGTATTGCGGCAAAGCTGCCTTTTGAGCTCCGCTACGGTCGCTAATGTATTGTCTACAAGGCATATGTGGAACTTCAGACTTGAAAACCACCATATGATTATGAGAGACGCCGTAGTGGAGGGCTCCGGAAATTTCGACCACCTAGGGTTCTTTAACGTGCACCCAAATCTGAGCACACGGGCCTACAGCATTTCTGCCTCCATCGGAAATACAGCCACCGCAGCCGGGATTCGATCCCGCGACCTGCGGGTCAGCAGCCGAGTACCTTAGCCACTAGACCACCACAGCGGGGCAACAAACTGGGAACACGAGGCAGAGCTATTAATTATATATGAACACTCTCGGCGGGTTTTGCATTCACTACCATGTTCCGTAACAAGTCCAAATTGATAACATGCCCCCATGCATCGTAACTTTTACGAGTGGGTAAAGACGCACGAGTGCTGCTGACGCAGAGATCACATGAGCTGGCCCATCTCTATAGCCTGGAGGGCGCATACAATAACATCCCCCTGCGTGTCAAACTGCCGTTGAATGCTCAAACAGAAAGGAAGCTAACTGTACCAAACGGCTGTACTGAGTAGCAACGACCGTACTAGGTAGAAAACCACCCGTACTGAGTAACAACGGTGAACTTCGATTTTAAGGGCACGGTCGCGATTGCTGGCACACGTGCTATCTCAGCTAGCATAAGTACGCTGTGTGAAGCTAGCAAAAGGCTGTGTGAAAAGAGCACTTCCCCCTGGAGTGGCCCTATTTGCTTACATCATCAAACCTTTGTAGGAGTTCCACGATATCGGATACAAGAGTTGGCTGTCAGCCTTAATTCGTATAACATAACCATTTGCTACTCTTGCATTCATTGCATTGCATTCAATGCGCCGCCGTGTTCTAGCCAGATCTAATCAGCTAATCGCGAAGGCTATGATTCCTCGTACTTGCAGTACAAACGGAAACCTCCAGAGATCCTTAGTTGCCACCGTGGTCTCTGAGGGTTTCCATCAGTGCCTAATCTGACATCCCCTCGGTAGTGACGACACGGTTGTCCCCATTAAAAAAAAAGCAAAGATGAATGTCGTCATGGGCCACACCATGGGCATGCAGTGAAACCATGCACGTGCACATGGCATCGAAAACTAACAGTGAACTAGTACACGAATACCGCGGAAAACTATTCGG